CTCCGGAAATGAGAAAGAACTTAGTTTCTGGTTTTCTTCTTAATAAGGCTGGTTTTACACAAACCATAGGTTCCGATTTATTTACTTTAACTAAGAATGGAATGTTTGTAGGGAAAGGTTATGCTACTGATGGCATGTTTAAACTGAATGTTGAGATTAATAAAATTTCTGATTCTGCTTATATGTTGTCTTCTTCTGTTAATATTTGGCATGCTAGACTCTGTCATGTGAACAAAAGACTCATAAAAAATATGAGCAATTTAGGCATTATCCCTAATGTTTCCCTCAATGACTTTGATAAATGTGATTTTTGTAGTCAGACTAAGATTACAAAAACACCTCATAAGTCTGTTGTTAGAAACTCAGAACCGTTAGATTTAATTCATTCTGATATTTGTGAATATAATGGAACGCTGACCAGAAATGGACAACGATATTTCATCACCTTTATTGATGATTGTTCTGATTATACTCGTGTTTATTTGATGAAAAATAAGAGTGATGCTTTTGATATGTTTAAGTTGTTTGTGACAGAGTTTGAGAATCAGTTCAACAAGCAAATAAAAAGGTTGCGTAGTGATCGTGGAACTGAGTATGATACTGATGCTTTTGTAGAGTTTTATAACTCACATGATATCATACATGAAAGATCAGCTCCTTATTCTCCAGAAATGAATGGTAAGGCTGAAAGGAAAAATAGAACCTTTACTGAGTTAGTAGTTGCTATTTCCTTAAATTCTGGTGCTGCTGATCATTGGTGGGGAGAAATTCTTCTCACTGTTTGTTATGTCTTGAACCGTATTCCAAAGACTAAGAGTAAGATTTCTCCTTATGAATTACTTCGTAACAAACAACCTAACATTTCTTATTTCAGAACTTGGGGTTGTCTGGCATATGTTAGGATTCCTGATCCTAAAAGAGTTAAGTTAGCTAGTAGAGCTTATGAATGTGTATTCATTGGCTATGCTGTTAATAGTAAAGCATATAGATTCTTTGATTTAAGTGCACGAGTAATTATTGAATCTAATGATGTTGATTTTTATGAGGACAGGTTTCCTTTTAAATCTAGAAATAGTGGGGGTTCGTCCTCCTCTTTTATTCCTGCAGTCAGGTCTAACTCACAGGATTTAGATGCTGAACCCGAATTAAGAAGGAGCAAGCGGGCTAGAGTGGCAAAAGACTTTGGCCCGGACTTTGAAGTTCTCAATGTAGAGGAGGATCCTTCTACCCTCCAAGAAGCCTTAGCCTCAGTTGATTCAGATTTATGGCAAGAAGCCGTGAATGATGAAATGGACTCACTTGAGTCTAATCGAACTTGGCATCTGACTGAGTTGCCACCAGGATGCAGAACAATTGGCTGCAAATGGGTCCTAAAAAGAAAGCTAAAAGTTGATGGGACCGTTGATAAGTATAAAGCTCGTTTGGTAGCTAAAGGCTACAGACAAAGGGAGAATGTTGATTTCTTTGATACTTATTCACCTGTTACTAGAATAACTTCTATTAGAGTGCTAATGTCTCTTGCTTCTGTTTTTAATCTTGTAGTACATCAGATGGATGTAAAGACAGCATTCTTGAATGGTGAATTGGAAGAAGAAATCTACATGGATCAACCAGAGGGCTTTGTCATCCCAGGAAAAGAACATCTGGTATGTAAATTAGATAAGTCTCTTTATGGTCTCAAACAAGCACCTAAACAATGGCATGAAAAATTTGATAACTTAGTCATTTCACATGGTTTTAAGATAAATGGTAGTGACAAGTGCATATATGTAAAATTTGAGAATGACATTTGCACTATAATTTGTCTGTATGTGGATGACTTGTTAATTTTTGGCTCGAATATTCACGCTGTGAATAATGTGAAGCTATTGTTAAATGCTGAGTTTGATATGAAAGATCTAGGAGAGGTGAATGTAATCCTTGGTATTAAGATTACTAGGACAGTAAATGGAGTTTCTTTGGATCAGTCTCATTACATTGAGAAAATCCTAAAGAAATATGGTTACTTTGACTGTAAACCTGTTAGTACACCTTATGATCCCAGTGTAAAGTTATTTAAGAACACTGGTGAAGCCGTAAGGCAATCTGATTATGCGAGCGTCATTGGCAGCCTTCGGTATGCCACTGATTGCACTAGACCCGACATTGCCTATGTCGTGGGATTATTAGGCAGGTTTACTAGTTGTCCTGGTAATGAGCATTGGCATGCTATTGAAAGGGTCATGAGATACCTTAAGAGGACCATGAACCTAGGATTACATTATGAGAGGTTTCCAGCTGTACTAGAAGGCTATAGTGATGCCGACTGGAACACCTTATCAGACGACTCTAAGGCTACTAGTGGATATATTTTCTCTATAGCCGGTGGAGCTGTATCTTGGAAGTCTAAGAAACAGACTATTTTAGCTCAGTCCACCATGGAGTCAGAGATGATAGCACTAGCTTCAGCTAGTGAAGAAGCAGGTTGGTTAAGAGACCTGCTAGGTGAGATTCCCTTGTGGGAAAAACCATTACCTGCTGTCTTGATCCATTGTGATAGTACCGCGGCTATTGCAAAAGTTCAGAACCGTTACTACAACGGTAAGAGACGACAAATACGTCGTAAGCACAGCACTGTAAGAGAATATCTTTCTATTGGAGCTGTGAGAGTGGATCATGTACGCACGGAGAATAATTTGGCTGATCCTTTGACGAAAGGATTAGCTAGAGAGAAAGTCCATAATTCGTCTAAGAAAATGGGACTATTGCCGTTGAAATGAGTTACACATAATGGTAACCCAACCTATAGACTGGAGATCCCAAGAAATAGGTTCAATGGGTAATAACAAGTTATGGAGTGATATGAGTTGATTATGTTTAAATAAACATAAAATTCCTGAAGCGATCAAGGATGAGTTAATAGGAACTCTTAATGAAATCTATACTCCATTTAGAGTGGAGTACCTAGCTACAGGAGTACTCTTGATAGATTCACCTATGTGAATGTGGAAGTGAGGCCGCTTCCTATGAAATGTGTGGCAGCATTTCTAGAGCATTCACTATACTGGGATAGACGTGCATGGCCGTAATAGCACGGGTCTTTAACAACACCAAGAATAGGTCGTGTGAGGTACGTTGTCAGAGATAGGGTTCAAAACTTCGAGTTACCCTTGTTAAATCTGAATCGTATTGACTATGCAGAAGTTCAAGTTGAAAAACACTTCTGTGTATGCACAATCTATATGTGTAAGGATTCTGCTCGAAAATGTTTTCAAAAAATTCAAGTGGGGGATTGTTGGAACAAGTGTGTTTTGGTGTAAATTTTGTGGAAAACAAAAAGTCCCACATTGGTGGGAAATAGAAGTTTGTCCTCCCTTATATTGGAGAATGTGGAGTATTTGGGTGTGGCCCTTGGGCTACCCACATTTTGTGGAGAGGGAGGACTTACCTACCAAGCCCACTTATCACACACGCGCGCCGAACCGAACCGAGCCGAGCCGGGCTGGGCTGGGTTGGGTCGAGTCGGGTTTATTAATTAAACTTAATTTTTGCTCAGTTTTTGAACAAGGCTTAATTACGTAATTAGTGCCTTGATTTTTGCTAAACGGTTTTGACTGGTTATCTCTCTAACGTTTATTTCCAGATTAATTAAACTTTGGCCGTTTTACTAGCTGTTTTGACTGGGTAAATTAACGTTTTAATTGACCGTTTTTGGCGTTAATCACGCTGGTGTTGGAACGGTTTTTGCTACCGTTATACCATTGTTTTGCCTATAAAACATCATGTTATGTTCACTGTTTTGATATAACAAAAAATCACAGAATTTTTCTAATCCCTTTTTTCTCTTACAAAATATTCGAGCAGTGTTCTTTATATTTTTTGGTGGTTAGTTGTCCACTGGTTCTGTGCAAATCCACTGGTATTTTCCTTGCTTAGACAGACTGTTTTATCCTGGGGAACATCCGGTTGTTGTACGAGCTGCTTGCACAAATTAAAGGGCAGTACCGTGAATGTTCTAAAGAGAGCGACATAGTCCGCGACTCAGTCTAATTCCCGGTAACTTTGTTCTGTTTTTATTGTTTACAGCAGTTCGGTTTATAACAATTAATAATGTACCTATCTGCTATCGATCTATTGAACTTATTCGAGCATGCATAAGCATAAATTTCCCCGACTAGCACCCTCCCCCCAAACAACGCGATTGCTTCTTTAGCTGATCGGAAAGGCGGTCGTGTATCAATGATTGCTCTTCCCTTGACCAACGCGCCCCTGTGCTCGCTCTCCATCCTGACCTTTATGTCAATTGATCTATAAGTGTACAACTAGTGTTATTTAACAGTTATAGTAGTCAATAACTACAACTTTAATTTGGAAATTAATGAAGATGAAAACAAATGGAGTCTTTTTTATGCCAATGATATTAATTGGTAAAAAGACAAAAGAGAAGTTAAGTTGATGATGCTATATTAACAAAACTTTGTTAATAGAAATGATTAATATTAACAAAAATAAGAGTTAGTTATTTGTATAATTAAGAGAATATTTTATCATCAAATGAAATAAGAGTTGTCCAAAAAATCATATAAAATTAGAATGTGAAAAGTGGATTAAATAAAAACAGGTTAATTTTACGGATTTAAATAAAGCATTCAAACAAAGGCGGATATTATTTACAAAGTGATGCCTTTGGTCTCAAAATTTTCCTGAACCAACTAACCAAACCATTACTAAATGTAAAATACTTCATTTTTGGGTTCAAGATTATTTTACTTAATTATCAATTAATCTTTACTTCGTATTTATTACAATTGACTGGTTCTTTAAAAAGTAATTTTTTTTTTATTATTATTATTATTATTATTATTATTATTATTATTATCCTTTTGAATTATTTCTTGAAATTTATAGACCGTGTACAACATACGTCAGCTTACATACTTTTCATATCGTGTTGCACTCGTATTAGATCAACTTATTTTCGTACCTTATCTTAAAAACCCTCGTGCCAGCCTAGTCATGCCCACCTTTAGTTTGTCCCATGGTTACAAACTTACCATTGCAACTTTCTCCATTTTTCTATTTTCATGCCTATGCTTTTAACAATTTTTTTTTTTGTTTTTAAAAAAACAACTCATTTAGACCATTTAGCTAATCTGCTTTGATACTTTAATACTCCATAATTGATTGGAGAAGAAAGAATATAATTTATCGATATAAAAATAAATACTCTTTAGAAATTGGAACATAGAATAATGAAGTAATGTCCAATCATATTGGTATATGGTGTATAGCACGATTGGTTTCAAAAAAAAAAAAAAGTAGCACGAACTCACGAAGTAATAAACAAAATTGGGAAAACCAAAATGGATATAGCAATCAAAGATATATATGTACCTAGTACGTATGCGTTACACTGTACTATTTTTCTTCATCCTTCAATCTTGATTGAATTTACAATTATTCATTTCATTGCGTGCCTAAATCAACTATTACGTTGATGGTGTAATTTTAACTAATAATGCAAGTTCAAAATGTAGACTGAGATAGCTCGGTAACACATATTCAATTCAAACTTTAGGAGAACGTTCGATATCACCTTCATCACTTGTTTTCTTCCTAGAAAAAAGCCATCCCATAATTGCAACACCCGGCTTTTTCTTTCCATCCTTCCTAAAAGAAGAAGATCTTCCCAACTTGCTTGTTCTTTCATCATTTTGCTTGATTTCTCTAGTTAAAGAGGGTGGACTTGCAAACGTTACAAACTTTTTCTTTTGAAATAATTCTTGTTGATGATCATAACTAATACGGCGATTATTATTATCAAAATGATTATTTTTTGCATTAGTCTCAACAAATTTAAGCTCTTCAATCTCCGGATTCATTGCTTTTGTATGATGATGATGATCTTTCACGACTTCTTTAGCAGCTTTCAAAGTATGAAGCTCTCTCTTTGTTTCTTCAAGTTGTTGTTTAAGTGATTTTAGGCAGTTTGCCATGTAATTGCCTTCTTCTCTTGCTTTTTGTAGACTTTGCTTGGTTTCTTCTAATTCAGCCGATACAATTTCTACCTTTTCTTTCTCCAAATCTTCCTTCTTGGGCACTTGTTGTATCTACATTTAAGCATGTATCAAGTTGGAATTGAAATATATTAGCATGTAATGTTATACTAATTCTATACATCCTAATAACCATGTTACATTATTGATTGTCATGTATATATATTATGTACTATATACTATGATTTAAGATGTTTGGAAAAAATTGTTACATTTTCTAAAATCGTATATAGAATTTGATTTTCTAATAATGTCATAATTCAATATAATGAAGGGAGCAAAAATAAAAAAATAAAAAAATAAAGTGCACAACTATTATACTCCTCCTAATTTTTAGGTTTTTGTATAAATTCGTTACAATATATTCTTAATTATACCATACAAGGGCAGAAGAATGTGACCAATAATTCCAATTGGAGGGAGTTGAATGTTTGTTTATTTTTGTTTTTTTTTGGTGAAAATGAATGTTTGTTTATGTAATATAAATTATTTTGAAAGATTGTTGAATTACTTTTGTCAATTAATTTATATATTTTTAATTAATTATGTCTTGGACAACTTTAACTCATACTAGTTAGACTGGCATTACCACCCATTCTTCCCTAGCTACATAGATTAATTATGCAAATATTTTACTACCTATATACATGCTAAGCTTGCACATTTTCGAGCATATATGCATGCATATTATATCTCATAGGAAAGAGTAAGGATATATGTATAACCTCTTTGAGTTGCTTGGCATAAATCTCCCCGACTAGCACCCTCTCCCCAAACAACGCGACTGCTTCTTTAACTGATCGGAAAGGTGGCCGTGTATCGATGATTGCCCTTCCCTTGACCACCACGCCCCCATGCTCGCTCTCCATCCTGACGGATAAGTGTACACTACTTGCGTTATGTATGTAACAATTAGTAGTCAACTAAAACTTTCATTTGAAAATTAAAGAAGATGAAAACAAATGGAGTCTTTTTATACCAATGATATTAATTGGTAAAAAGACAAAAGAGAAGTTAAGTTGATAAGGCCATATTAACTATACTTTGTTAATAGAAATGATTAAAATTGTTGTAGTAGTGGATCATAAAATGGGGGTAAGAGAGTAGTAGTAGTAGTAGTGGCTTCTGCTTCATTTCTTGGCTTCCACTTCACTATCTTTTGTTATTTACATTGTGGTTGTAGAGTAGTATCGTAATTAGTTAGAAGAGTCCTTTTAATTGCTCTTAAATATTTGGCAATTGGGTTTAAAAGTAACATGGTTTATACCTAATTAATCAGATTTAGATTGTTTTTGGGCCCGCCTTTGATTTGGACATTGCTCCTTTCGCAATTGCTTTGTTAGTATTTTGTCTCATGTTAGTTTGTATACAATTTTGACATACTCTGGATGCTAGATAATTATACTAGTCCCAGTCATTTCACCAAATTTATAGATGGCTAACAATCTAACATGTAACTATAGACGGCACTAGGCTGATCCAGCTCGAAGCACAGCAAGGTGAAGGCACGAAATGGCGTGCGAGCCGTGGACTAGACTTGGAATCTTGGACTACTTTTATTTGAGAGGACATGGCACAACACTATACGATATGACATAAACATACTAAGATTAGTGAATTTTGGATTAGGCATGCTAGCCTAACATGACCTTTTGAAAAACTCAACATTGCATGCATGTTGCTCATGGGCCAAGTTTAACTAAGCCCAAAGCACATAGGCTCAACATGAGGCATAACCCACTACCATCTTTATATGACTACCATCTTTATATGCAACCTACAACTCTAATGATATAATCATTAATAGGTAGATATTTAAGACAGCTAACAACTCTTTTGCTACCTATCATTTCTTTGGCTCTTTGGAGAAGTGATCAAGTTGACATCACTTTGAAAACAAGATCAACTTTTTTTTTTAGAAAAAAAGATTAACTAATTTTAAAAGACTAAAATCCCGTCAAAAAAAAATAAAAATAAATTAAAGACTAAAAACACTTAAACAATTTCTAAAATCCATTTCTAGAAAAAAATATTTTTTTATCTCTATCCGTATTTCCATAACAATGCTTAATGCGGAGCAAAATAAATTTATAACCGTTATAGACTCAACAATTCTCGTCTAATTTTGACCAATGTGGCAAGGTCGAATGGTCAATAACACATTTGAGTCTACCAATTTGAGTTGACGGTAATAATAATTGCCTCCCGCACCTCAAGTCCTCAATTACCCGTTTACCCCCGTCACTAATTCTCGTCGCCGGCGCCTTTTTCTTCCTTAATTTCCCGGCATTACACAATTCAAAGTTGAACAAATCTTAGAGAGAGAAATTCGACCTCTTCTCTCTCACCTACAATTCACTTCGATCTCCCAACAACAAACAAGGAAAAAAATGGTAATGAAATTTTTGCTTATTAATCAGCTCGATCTTAATTTTCTGAATTTGTATGCCCTAATTTTTCTGAAAAAAAAATGGTAGATCCGATTCATTCTGCTACAGAACAGACAAGGAAAGACGCGTTTAGCTAAGTACTATGTTCCTCTCGAAGATTCCGAGAAGCATAAAGTTGAATACGAGGTTTGCTTCACTTGTCATCTCTACTTGTTTGATTTTTTATTTGATTTGGGGTTGAATTTGATTTAAATTGGGTTATTTTTGTATGATTTGTGTTCAGGTTCATCGACTGGTTGTAAATAGAGACCCAAAATTCACCAATTTTGTTGAGGTTTGTGTTCTTTGCGTTTCCCCCCTTTTCAAGGTTTATTTTTGGCGGATTGTTATTTGTGATTGTTATGCCGTGATTTTAAGTTGTATGAGCATTCTATTGTGATATGATTTGCTTAGTATAGTTTGTGAAATGCGAATTGGGTATGAATTTTTGGTGTTTTTAGATTAGCTGTGAGTTTCTTGATGTTTTGAGTGAACAATCAATTATGGATGTAGAATTGGTGAAAATTGTTATGCTTTGAAAAGTATAATTTTCCAGTGTCCAAATTTTAGTGTTTTTTAGGTTAGTTTAGTTTCATGATTTATTGAGCTGAACCTTCTAGTATAGTTCTGAAAATATGACAAATAAAGAAAGAGTGGAAGAGCAAAAAATACTTATAGCTTGTTTGGGTACAAATTTAGGTATGAAGGGGAGGGAAGGGGTAGGGAGGTGAGGGAAGAGAAGGGGAGGTGAGGGAGGAAGAAATTTAACTCCATTGTTTGGATAAAGGAGAAAGGACAGAAGGGGATATAGTCACTACCACCATAAACATATGAATTGAAATTGTTCTTTGGTACCAGAAAATTCAATCTGAAAAATTGAGATGGATCGGAGTAAGATTTGGGAGTGGTGATATCATAAATACGTGAAAAAAACTTCCGGAAAGACTATTGTTCCAGAAATCAAAAGTTTGAAGTTGCGGGGCAGGGTGGAGGAGAGGGTATGGTTGTGTATTGAGGTCGTATCTTGGACTCGAATATGATAAGACTTCGTAGCCTACTGTTTACTCCTAAGTCATGGATGGCAAGCTAAATTATGGTTTTTCAGTGCTGAATTGTTTAGGAAAGTAAACTTGGTCAAATCTCTAGTTCTTGTGAGATTTGACTACATCCTATATTTCTTCTGCAACGGAAGTGAGGGCAGTTCTAAAATGATTTAATCTGTCTTTGTGGGGAGGGAGCAAGATGTTAAGAGTTGATTTTATTTAAAAATGATGGTTAAAGTAGTGTTAGTTAAACCCATTTTTTCAGTGTCTTCACACTACTTGAGTCCTTATAAAAGGCAATCCCTTAACTTTCTAGCTTATTGTTTCGTAGCAAGAAAAGTGACATACCACAGTTAGTCTCGCAAATATTGCTTGATGTTAGATGAGTCGGATCGTCATTGCATAGCCTTGGCAATGTGCCATTATGTCTTGCAAAGTTCTGTAGGGTAAGTGTTTCTAGAGATTGTGTATTTTTGACTGATCCAGATAGTATCCACATGAAATGGTCCACTTAGGCTGCACACAAAGATTGGGACTTTGGCACTACCTTGACAGTTGACAGAACATCAGAAGTGACATTTGTATTGCAATGCAGAACATCAAAGCAATGCGAAATTTGTCATTAGTGTGTTTCTCAGATGTTCTATCCTTCATTCATGATGTAAAGGCACCCAAAAAGCATTTTTTTGCTCTCCATCAGCTTAACTGAAACATAACCTTTCTTTACATCTAGAGAGAGCTTGGAGTGTAGGGATCACCATCAAAGTGTTATGTATGGGGAATTTTTCACATCAGGGCCAACCACTTCATCAAGAATATCAGTTGTAATTCCTTGATTTTGTAGATAAAGTTATGCATGAGCTCTGTTAATGACTTTTGTAAGAATTACAAGAGTTTTGGCCTTTGGGCATGAAACTTGTCTGACCCTTTTTTTAGTTGTAATTGGCACTCCTTTGGTGTCCTTACTATTCTTTGTTGCATATACAAAACGAAAATGTCTTCCCCTCTACACCCTTGCTAGTTATGGGCTAGAAATAATTGGATTGTGGTATCCCTGCTAATTTTTTAAGTATTAGTCACCTTAGTCTACACATTTGGTTGCCTCATTCTTCATTTCATTTAAGCTTTCAGGTTAATTCATGAGATTGTTATACTAGTCATAACATGCACATTGGCATTTTGACTTATTGTTACTATTTTCTCAGTTTCGTACGCACAAGGTTATCTACAGGCGTTATGCTGGGTTATTTTTCTCCATGTGTGTTGACATCACTGATAATGAGTTAGCATACCTGGAGTGCATTCATCTCTTTGTGGAGATACTGGACCACTTTTTCAGCAATGTTTGTGAGCTGGATTTAGTCTTCAATTTTCACAAGGTTTGTGTTATATTTGTCAATATCTATTTCTGTCATGTTTCATCTTAATTAAAAAGTTTTCTTTAATCCATCTTTATCACTAAAGTTTATGGGAAGCGAATTTATGGAATGATTAGTTATCATACCAAACTTGTATGTTAGTGTTCTCCAATAAGGTGATGGTACATGATTTTATATGCTCTGATATCCAATTGACTTGAGAAGTTATCTATGTGAAGATCGTGAACCTTATTGCTGCTTACAACTTGTTGAGTTATTGGCACTTATCAATTTTAGGGGCTTCTGCTTCTTGGCAAGCGTCTGGTCTGTCTCTTCTTAGTTCAGAAAAATTGTCTTACTACTATCATTTATCTAATCAAGTATTCAACCTCTGGTGTTTATTTGAGAACATGGCCAGTGCACATTAGTAAAGTACCTTCCATAGTCCCATGTAAATTGAGTATATATTAAATTACACAGATCTGTAATCTGATATAGTTCTCTAGGTTTGGTTGTACTTGTGTTTGTTCAGTGATGTGTGATTTTTTAATTATCTCTTTTAATTTATGTATAGGTTTACCTGATTCTTGATGAGTTTATCCTTGCTGGCGAGCTTCAGGAAACGAGTAAGAAGGTGAGTGTCTTACCGTTACTGCTTCAATTTCTTGTTCATTTTTTTGGCTTCTTAGCTGAGGCCTCTACCTGATTATCTGTTTCCCTTTCGTCCAGCACGTTACAATACAGTTTATCACTTCATGTATCGAGTCTTTTAACTCACGATTTTGCTTTCCCCAAAGCTTGCTGAATGAATAATGGTAGCTTGAATCCTCCTCTTCTGAAATTCAAACTGTTGTATTGCAGGCTATCATTGAGAGGATGGGTGAATTGGAGAAACTCGAGTGATCTAATTTTGTTGTAGAAGAATAGCCTGCAAGCTGCTCGTTATGGATTGATGATTGAATTTAACTGAGCTTTCACATATCCTTGTTTGGGGAACAGATATATTCGGCCTGTGTATAATACATCTTGTGATCACAATCCATTTGTTTACAGTTAACTTGATGCTTGGCAATTTTCTGTATTAATTTTGTTTTAGTATCTTTTGCCTCTATATGAATATACAGTATATGGTTTACTCCTCTCTCTCTCTTTGTGGAAAGTCGATTCTCATCTCTTACCGGGGAGGCGGGGAGTTTAGGATGTGGTAACAACTACCAAGAGGACTTGTGTAGTTGTGTGAGGTTACTAGCTCTCAAATTAAGCAAGGCCATGCGTGCATGTAAAAATTAGATACAATCATACAATAATTGGAGTACATCAGTTGAAGGGAAGTTATTACTCACTCTGTTTTTTAAGTGTTACTTCTATTTTGACAACCTACTCTTGTAATTTTAATCATAGTTTGGTTAAAGTGTAACACTTAAAAAAGCGGAAGGAGTATCCTTTTCTTTACCTTGTAATTTCAATGATGTTTAGGGAAAAATAAACTAGTTAGTCAAATCAACTAAAACAACCAATTAGTCAAAAAATTTTTACAACCCACTATTTCAATCAACTACAAGCTATGGGGGGGCATTAATGGAAGAAAAAATTGGAGGGAGAAATGCTTAACAAATCTTTTGGTTCATTTCCAATGAATGTGATGGTTTTAAAAATAAAAAATACTGTAACTAAAGTTGCTTCTTAATTTAAGAAACGAATCTAAGGGAATACTAACGAATTAATAATTGTATTATAATTGATCATATCAAGGTTTTATTTGCGTTTAATTTGGTCTGAATTTGTACGGTGCTACTATTGATTACTGCTCACATTCGGGTTACGAAATAAGCACAATAATTTTATTTCTCACAAAATTACAAAGCGGCGATGGATCTAGTCAATCTACTCAAAAAGTTGTATGAAACAACGAATCGAATAGGTGCCGAATTATTATACATATTTATTTGGATCCTTAGCTCTTTCCCGATCAATTCTTATTTGATTTTGTTAAATTCGTTTCCATTATCGTTATTCGTTGCTGTATGATTTTATTTAATGAAATTTAGTGTCATTTAAGACTTTAAAAAAAAAAAGTAGAGAAATAAAAAATAAGTTTTTATAGGTAAAATAATCTAAATTCAAACCAATCTAATTTAATTATTATTTTTTTTAATACGAAAATCTAATATAATTTCTAATAATAATTTCTTCAACAAAAATCAAATGAATAAAATAAGACTTTATTCCTTTTATTGTTAGTTTTAATTTTAACATTTAAATACGTACTCCGTAGTAATTATTCACTCATAATAAAATCCAATAATCCTGTAAAAAAAATAAATAAAAAAAATAAACCAATAAAAATGAAGGACTATAAAAGAAATCGAACTGTCAGTCCCTGAAAAGCTCTTCTTCAACTCTCAACTCCCGAGTTTGGGACATCAAAACCTCGTTTCAGAGAAACAAACACAAATTATACGAGGAGAGAGAAACTCAGTGTGATTTCTACAACCTAAAACTCCTTAAATTCAACTAATTATCTGTTATTCAATCTTCTTGACCTAATTTTCCCCCCAAATTCAGCAAAAAAATTCATCTTGAAAGCAGAGAAATTTTTCCCAGAAATCGAAATTCACAATTCGGCATTTCAAACGCAGTCTTATCTGTGCTGGGTTTCTCCCAGGGTCACTCTGAAGTCAAATTGATTCAGAGTGTAAAACCCTAGAAATATTTCATCAGATTTTTCTGAGAATTTTTTAGGGCTTTTCCCTAAATTATTTTCCCGCCATGAGTCCAATTCAGAATTTTGAGCAGCATTCTAATCTTCTCATCGACCATGACCTTCGTAATTTCTCTAATCTTCTCATTTTGTTTTTAATTGCTTTTGATTGTGGTATAATTTGCTTGCTTAGTTGATTTTGTTTTTTGTGTTTTGGAAGTTCATTTTTTTTTTAATTTTATTTTTATCCATAATAATGTCAGTTGAAGCTATTAGAGTATTTGATTGTATTATGTACTCGTTTTTCTTATGTGCCATTTCTGTTTAAGATATTTCGTGTGCCGTGGTAGCGGTATGAGATCGAACTGATTAAAGAGTTTTTAGCTGTATATCACTGTAATTCTAGAGCTCATTTTTGCTATGATGTTGATTTGGTTATAATTTGTTCTAAGCATTACTTTGTGCCACGATCCCGGCCCTTGAATATAGGGCTGTGGTATTGAATTGATAGGAGTATATATATTTATTGTATGTTTACATTTTGATTGTGCTATGATACATTTTTTGTATGTTGTTCAAAAGAGACCAACTTGATTTGTTCTCCTTTTGTTTTTTGGGATCATGATAGCAATACAAACAAGACTACAGATGGCGATGGAGGTACGGGATAGTCTAGAGATAGCACACACGGCTGAGTACTTGAATTTCTTAAAATATTACTTTCGGGCGTTCTCGGTGATTCTTCTTCAGATAACAAAGCCACAGTTCACTGATAACCCTGAACATAAGCTCCGTAACATTGTGGTTGAGATTTTAAACCGTTTGCCGCATAGTGAAGTTCTTCGACCCTTTGTTCAGGACTTGTTAAAGGTTGCAATGCAAGTTCTCACTACTGATAATGAAGAAAATGGATTGATCTGTATTCGAATTATATTTGACTTGCTTAGGAATTTCCGGCCTACACTCGAGGCTGAAGTACAGCCATTTCTTGACTTTGTGTGTAAAATATACCATAATTTTAGTTTGACAGTGAGCCATTTCTTTGATAATGGGGGTGCAATGGTAGCCGTTCCCCCTATTGGCACGCCTGGAGGTGGTGATGATATTAAGCCAATGGATACGTCTGATCAGTTGACTCCTTCCAGCAGCAGCGGGCTTAGTGGTGCTGCTACTGGCTATCATGGATCTGGTCAGCTAAATCCCAGCACAAGGTCATTTAAAATTGTTACTGAGAGTCCGTTGGTGGTCATGTTTTTGTTCCAATTATATAGCCGGCTTGTTCAGACTAATATCCCTAATTTGTTGCCACTTATGGTGGGGGCTATCTCTGTTCCTGGTCCCGAAAAGGTGCCTCCCCATTTAAAGACTCAATTTATCGAATTAAAGGGCGCACAAGTTAAGGTAAGCTTTCCATATTTGATGCCCTTGAAAAGCTTGATGGTAGTGTTTTCCTTGCCACTCTCAGCTGTTTGACATTTGATGATTGTTGATCCCTTTTTTAACTTGGGGTGAGGTTGATTTCTAAGATGCAATAATATTATTGATGGTGATAGATGGTTTATTTTCACGCAATTTCTTGTTTTTTTTGGAACTAGGTTATCGTACTTTGGAGCCATGATATTTCTGTGCGAATAGTCACATTTTGAAAGCAGTTTAACTGAATCAATAATTCGTGTAACTTACTCATTAGAGTAATATTTCGTAACCCTCAATTATTAGTTAGTGGTAATTACAATAGATGAGGCATTAACAACTGCACGTATCGTCAAATTGGGCTGTATTTCTGCTAAAATTTACCACTCATTAAATATCATATTAATTTTCATTTTTGTTCTGTGTAAAATTTTGTGATGTAAACTATAGAATCAGAAAGAGAACAATTTGCTTAGGAAGTTCCTATCAGGGTTATGAAATGTCTGCTAAGACAAGCATGAAATGCATGTAGTGCAAAAGGCTACTAGATACTGTAGATGACTAAAAAGGAATACTCTGGAAAAGATATCCCTTACGACGAAAGGCAGAGTAAAATGATCAAGCCCACAGGATGATAGAACACCTTATCTATGAGATCTATAAATCAAAACAAAAACCTTAAGCTAACACTATGAAGTGACAGAACACCTTTTCAAAAATCATTTATGTTCTTGTTATTTACGTCATCCAGAAAAAGGAGAACTTAACACTATGACGTGACAAAGCTGTTTCCTTAAGAAACAGTCAATTCCCTTACAATCTTACATCCTCATTGACCATTTCTTAAATTCTTAAATTCCTTTACAGTCTTATAGTCAAAGCTGACTTGTAAATCTGCGTTTCATTTCTGAAATTCTTTAAAGCTTAGATCATTTTTTAGCAAGAGATGTTTAAAAATTAAAACCTCTCATTTCACCATGATTAACAAGATATGCTAGAAGTAATGTCTCTCCTACGACTCAAGAAGTACTTAATTAAACAAGAATAGGAATAAAATTTTGAACTTTACATTTCATGCAAATCAATGTAATGAGTTGTCCCTTGATATGACACTTTTGACAAATCCGTAAAACATTAGCAAGACAGCAATTGTGATTGCAATCTGTATCCCTAAATGGATCCTAGACTGGAACTATTTTCTATCAAGGGCCATCTCTTCAATATTAGCTAGAACAATACGTACTAATCAACATTCTTTCTTGAATATGTTTTCATTTCCTGTACTCTATTGTAGAGATCTTCTCTCATTGCCTTACCGAGCATGGATGCTGCAATGTACATAGAAATATTCCTGTCTATGCATATCTTTTCATAACAGTCTTCAACTATCACTGGTAGATTTTCAGCTAAATTTTGAAAATAATGTAAAACTATTTTTTGTCATTGAAATAAGTATTTTTTTTCATAAAAAAATGTTTAATACTGTTAGTATCGGGATTGTTTTGAGAAGATACCTCCAATGTTGGAATGTTATTTGGTAATTCAAAGTTGGGATCATGTTTCTAAGACTAGCAAAAGTTAGGTTAATTCCTTTGTACTCCCTCCGTTCTTTTTTGTTCTACTCACTTTCCATTTTAGTCTTTATTTTTTTTATTTTTATTTTATGTTCTTCTCATTTTGCTTTATTCTATTTATGCCATTTTTCTTTTACCATCCTACTCCTTCAACCCCAAAATAATTACACCTTTTCATATTCTCTCTCTCTCTCTCGCTTCACTTTTTTCTTACACAAACCTTCATTTTTACATTTTCTCTCTTACTTTATCATGCACCCACTCACATTCTTATCAATTTCTTAGATTGTTTATCTGCAAAGTGAGTGGACATAAAAAAACTGAGGTATGTCTTTTCAAAAAATGATGGAATATATGGAAATTTCTAGAAGTAAGCTCTATCTGTTAGTAAGAAATGAATTCATGAAGCATTGTGTGAGACTGTGAGTGGATAATTTGTAAATGTTGCCCCTATTTAATTCTTGACAAATATTTAATTGATTAAATGGTATGGATTATTCAGATAGATGGTAATGTCTTTTTCCATGGCTGCAGACTGTTTCTTTTTTGACATACCTCCTGAAGAGTTTTGCTGACTATATCAGGCAGTATGAGGAGAGCATTTGTAAAAGTATTGTTAACTTGCTCGTTACATGTTCTGACTCTGTCTCCATTCGGAAGGTGTGTGCTCTAAACTTTATAATGTCATTTGTAATTCAATGCTTTGTTTTCCTTATTTAATCTTTTCAAGTTGAATGTAATTGTGCATTGCTAATGCAGGAATTACTGGTAGCCCTGAAACATGTTCTTGGAACAGATTTTAAGAGGGGTCTATTTCCGTTAATTGATACCTTGTTGGAAGAGAGGTATTATTTGAACCAAGTATTTTACGGCTTTACTTTCTAATGCAGTTGGTTATTTCATTGACATCATTTTATGTAATTTTTGTACTTAAAACATACAGAAGGTGTTGTGCACCCACATAAGACCATTGCCTAGCTATTTTTTTTCCTATTTATATAATTAGTCTGTCCTCTGTTTGTGCTTTCTTAGGGTTCTTGTTGGGAGTGGACGGGCCTGTTATGAAACATTGAGGCCACTGGCTTATAGCTTACTAGCAGAGATAGTACATCACGTTCGAGGAGATCTCTCCCTGCCACAGGTCTCTGTTTTCGAGCTGAATTGATGCCATATTTGTCTTTTTGTTGAGTTGAGTTGATAAATGTTTATTGTTTATGCATTTGACTTTTATTGAAGTTGCTGCTCTTGCTGCTGGAAGGGAAGTTTCTTACTGCAGTATTTAGCTGGATTCTTTGCATGTTTTGCAGTCCTGCGCTTGTAGTTGCTGTCGGTATGGCTGTGGGCGGTTTGTGGGCAGTTTTTTGGTTTTGCAACTTTGGTTGCTATAAGTGATACTTTTCCATGTCATCCTTACATCAATGTCCTTTTTAAAACTGAATTGATAGCAAAGCCAGGGGAATACACACTGTGCGCTAGCTAATAAAGGGGGATTTATAAAGTAACTGGTTAACAGTGTTAAATCTGCTAATTGCTCATTTCCTCTCTGTGAGATTTTCTTAAATTAGACATTCTAGACCAGTAATAGACGGGTTTTCTAAAAAAAGTCAAATGCAATTTCTCCTAATGGAGCTGACCACAGAAGGAAAAACTTTGCAACAGCAGGATCTACTTCACAAAGCCATGGACACTAGTCACACTACCTTTGCAAGGGTGCTGCCCTTGATTGCTCCCCTTTTCTTTTAATCCTTTAGGCTATTTCCGAGAGGATTGCGAGTGAGGCTTATAAAATTTTAGTGTATGAAGTTACTTCAACATAATATAAAATGACTAAATTTGCATGAGTTGTCATCACCAGTTGACACCAAGAGTAAGAAATTGCTAGTGATTTGGTGAGAATAGAAGCATGGGACTTTGGGGCCTTCATTGATGGAGGTTTATGGTTAATTGTGATACTTGTTTATGCTCATCGCCTCATCCACATTAATATCTCCCAATGCCTCTAAAGAGCCACTCTCCATATCAGCTTAATCTAAGTAATCTATGCTCAGTATTCTGCAATGTCTAAGTTAGAGGTGACTGGATAGTGTTTGCTTTTGTTAGCTTCATTTTGTTCATATATCTTTATGTTTATTAAATTTCATGAAGTCAGCATGTACATACTTTCCTCCCTCACGCACACACATGCACACAAAATGAAGAGAAAATTAAGGTGAAGGTAGTATGATATTTATATCTCCCGCAAATTTTGATTGTTGACATTAGTGTGGTTTCCATGCAGCTTTCACGTATCATATACTTATTCTCAAGCAACATGCATGATGCCTCGCTAACATTGAGTATTCACACCACATGTGCTCGCCTGATGCTGAATCTGGTGTGTGTGATATCGTTATTCGGGCTAGGTGTTAAATGATTTGTGTATTTCCTTTGTCAGACATGTGGTTTATGACTATTTTCGTTCTTGTGGATTTTAGGTTGAACCAATTTATGAAAAGGGGGTTGATCAAACGTCAATGGATGAAGCACGGATTTTGCTGGTTTGTATTTGTAATTTTGGATTAATTTATTGGTTTGCTTTACATAATTTAATTTGAACTCTTTATTTGATTCTTTGCCATATTGTTGCCTCTTCCTCCTTTTGTTCGTTAGATTGGTATCAATCGGTGGCGTATCCAAGAATTCAGAAGTGTGGGTTCGAAATCATTAAGAAATAAGATATAGGTCCTCCGTTCGTTATAATTGCAACATTGGTGATTTCACGCTTGCCAATGCACATTCTATAAGCTAAATATCTTAAGTTATATTAATTTTGTAAGAATTATAAATAATTGATACCATAAGAATATTTTTCGAGACAAATTTAACAAGATCCCACTTGACTATATATATCTTTTCCAACGTATGAATCACAAAAAGCGATCAACGGAGTGTATATATGTGTAAATATTGTAAAATTACATACGTTGCAATTAAAAGAGAACATTGGAAGTATAATGGATAACATATTACATAATACAATGGAATACAATTATAAAAAGGGATCCACAAAAGCATTCAGATTTTCATATGCTTTGGAGAAGAAAGTTAGGGAGAAAAAAATAATTAGGGTAAAGGGGTTTGATGTTTTGAGTCTTAGAATGAGTTTTTTTTTTTTGGGATATTGGGAATTTAGAGAAGTAATTAAAGCAAAAGGGAAAAAAAAAACATTTGGAGTTTTATATACTTTGGAGAAGAAAGTTAGAGAGAAAATAGTTATGGTTAAGGGTTCTGATATTTTGAGTCTTTGAATGAGTTTGTTGGGGGGAGTTCTGAGAAGAAATTGAAGCAAAAGGAAAAAAAATTTAAAAGGCTAAAATATAAAAAGAATGTTCCTGGGAATCGAACCCACAAACTTGAAGGCCAAGTGCACAAGTGTTAACTCCATCCTACCACTGGGCTATGCTATTTTCCCTATTCTACTTGTGCAGACAAATTTTTTTTATTTTTTTTTGTTTTAAATTTATTGTTTCAAATAATCAGTGTGTTCAATGAACCCATTGGAACATTGTGGATCCACCACTAGAATCTATCAGCAACTAGTGAATTCCTTGTCTTGGTGGTTCAATTTTGTAGCTTTATTACTTATCAGGGTCATCTTGTTGATGTATATGCTGTGAATTAATGTTGGAATTTTATGTTAAATTTGTCTTATACATTTCACAAGTTCACACCAGCTTTCGGGGATTATGTTATATGGTCTTTTCAGGTCCGGATATTGGATTCTTTTGTTGGGAAGTTTAGTACTTTCAAGCACTCAATTCCCCAGGTAAATAATACTGTTAAGCTTCTTTATTCGTATAATTTGTGAATACAATTGTTGCTTATTGTTTGTCTTGGTACCTGTATGTGCCTGCCTGCTGTAACACATTGTACTTTAGATGATCTACATAAATTAGAAATTGTTGAATATTGTATATAGCTAGTGGACTTTAAAGGCTTCCCTTTCCTTTTCTTCTGTCTCGTTGGCTAATAACAAAGGTGCTTAAATGAAATAATACTTCCTAGATTTTGTTTTTTTTTGTTTTTTTTTTTTAAAAAAAAAGAGGTGGGGTGTTGGACGAGGGTGTTTATGGTTTACTCTAATTTCTTTTCTCTGGAGTGTGGAGGTGGATGAAATTAGTTCTGTTTTTCCCCATTTTATGCTTAGTTGAGTTGCCACCTTTGGAGAGTTGGGAAATATGAGTTAAATTGGTTGGTAAAGTGTTTGCTATTATTGACACCATGTCTTTCTTTCTAGGACACGTTATCTTTTGCCACATTGTGCAGTGGTCTAAATAAATTTGCTCTTGTACTCTGGTAGTGGTTTATGTTGCTAAACTTTCACTTAAGATTTTTTTGCTCAAAGCTATATTCTAAGTTCCTTACATTGAGTATTGAGGCAATTACACTAGGTTTAAGTTTCTTTGTTGGCCTTTGTATCCTATATTATTTTTTCTCTTTTTTGCGGGGAAAGGGTGGTGCCGTGGTGCGGTAATATATTATGATGATGTATTTGATTATTTGAAGAATTTTGTTAACCATTAAACCTTGGAAGTATTAAGAGATGTTATACATTATCCATGCCTCCTTAATTTGGTACACTCTTATCAGATGTTGCTGGGGTCTGGTGATGTATGCATGCTTGTAATAGCAAAGGTTACTAGAGAAAGTATACTGAAAGGTGTTATTATAATTGCTCTGGTGGCTAAGTTCTGGTGGTAAGGTTGGGCTAGAGTAAAAGTATGTAGATTATGTATACGATGTATTTATAGGTCTATTATGGATAGTTTGATTCACAACAAAAATATAATGTTTGTCAAACTTTGTGGTGTCAGAAATCCGTTTTCTCAGATTTCGACAGATTTTATGATTGTTGAGATGAACAGAATTTCTAAACTAAATCTTCTGAAGTTATTGCTATAAGTGTGACATCTGTTGTAAGATCTAGCAATCAACTGATTTCCAACTGGGAAGTGGAGACTATATTTGTAATGAATTCGTGATCAACCTCCTCTTAGCTTATAAATCTTCTGCCCTTGTTAAATTTTTATTTGCATATTTGGTAAATCTAAATATTTTTAATGCCCTTTTTAACTTTATTGGTTGTTTGATGTTCATGGGTTATAGCTGCTCGAGGAGGGTGAGGAAGGAAAAGATCGAGCTTCATTGAGGTCAAGGTTGGAGCTTCCAGTTCAGGTTATTTCTGACGTAAATAACTTTTAGTTTGATTAAGGTTGATTGACTTATCAATTGGAATGAAATGATTTTTGTACTCTTCACTCTTACATAAATCATTTGGTACTCATTGGAACCTGTGTTATCTATTACACCTAAAAAACTATGGTAATTCAGGAAATTAAATTGTGTTAGGTTGGTCATTTTTACTCCATTCACAAACTCATTTTTACTAATGAGATAAAAGTCTGAGCTAGCCTCCTATAGGTTGTTGATCACCGCACAATGCTGCTAGTCCTGCTCTTACATCAGCTCATGGGGTTTAAAATTTTTTCTCAACTCAAAACATTTTTAGGATTGTTTTATTAGCTGAGTTGTTATCTTTACCAAGTTGTTGAAAGGGGGTTGGCTCTTCTTCTGACCAGTCCTAGCATTTAATCTGGTTGCAGGCTGTATTAAACTTGCAAGTGCCGACTGAACATGCCAAGGAAGTCAATGATTGTCGACATCTGGTCAAGACCTTAATTATGGGTAATCTGTCATTTCAATATCAATCAATGAATCAAAGCCTTAATCCCATTAGCCGTAATCTGTCATTTTTATGTTGTCTGTTATATTGTCGATTCCCCTCTTGCTCTAAAAAGAGCTCATTTCTGTGTGTGCAGGAATGAAGACTATTTTTTGGACAATAACTCATGTTCATACTCCTCATATGCAGGTTTTTTGATTTCTTGAAAACAATGTAAAGTTGTGTGATGTCTCCACCTGCATCTGATGGATTGTTACTTGTTTTCTAATATTAATTTTCAGGCTTCAGCTGTTCATGGGGCGCATCAGCAAATGTTGCCAACAAATGGTTTGCCTGCATTCAAAGGCTTGAGGGAAGATGAGGTATTAATATGAAGCTTTGAGTTAGTGTATTGATTGAGATCAACTTGGTTTGATGATTTGTTTTACTTCCTTTCTTTTGGTAGGTATGGAAAGCCTGTGGTGTTCTGAAAAGTGGTGTGCATTGCCTGGTAATTTTTAAGGATACTGATGATGAAAAGGAAATGCTTGGGCACTTTTCCCAAACTTTAGCTATTTTGGAACCTCGAGATCTGATGGATATGTTCTCACTTTGCTTGCCTGAGCTTTTTGAATGCATGACCTCGAACAATCAGCTAGTTCATATATTTTCTACGTTGCTGCAAACACCGAAGGTTTTCCGTCCATTTTCAGATGTTCTGATCAATTTTCTTGTTAGCAGTAAGCTTGATGTTCTGAAACAACCAGATTCCCCCGCTGCAAAATTAGTCTTGCACCTCTTTCATTTATTGTTTGCAGCTGTTGCAAAATATCCTTCAGAGTCAGAACGTATACTATTGCCTCATGTTCCTGTTATTATTGAAGTGTGCATGAAAAACACCACTGAAGTTGAGAGGCCTATTGGCTATCTACAGCTGCTTCGAACAATGTTTCGTGCACTTGCTGGTGGAAAATTTGAACTTATATTGCGAGACTTGATTCCTTTACTACAACCTTGTCTGAATATGTTACTTGCCGTGCTTGAGGGACCTGCTGGAGAGGACGTGAGGGAACTTCTTTTGGAATTGTGCTTAACTTTGCCTGCACGTTTAAGTTCTTTGTTGCCGTTCCTTCCCCGTCTTATGAAGCCATTGGTTTTATGCTTAAAAGCAAGCGATGAACTTGTTAGTTTGGGGTTGAGGACTCTAGAATTCTGGATAGACAGCTTAAATCCTGACTTTCTTGAGCCCAGTATGGCAAATGTTATGTCAGAAGTAATTTTGGCATTGTGGTCTCATTTAAGACCTGCGCCATACCCTTGGGGTGGAAAGTGTTTGCAACTTCTTGGGAAGCTAGGTGGACGTAATAGACGTTTCCTGAAAGAGCCACTGGCACTGGAATGCAAGGAAAATCCAGAGCATGGGATTCGTGTGATTCTTACCTTTGAGCCAGGAACCCCATTCTTGGTGCCTTTAGATCGCTGCATAAACCTTGCTATAGCTACTGTCATGCAAAAAAATGGACAAGTAGAATCGTTCTATAGAAAGCAGGCCTTAAAGTTTCTTCATGTGTGCCTATCTGCTCAGCTGAATTTGCCTGGAAACATTTCTGATGAGGGTTTTACCCTGGACAAGCTGTCAAAAATGTTATCGTCCGGAGATTTGTCCTGGCGAAGATGTGAAACTTCAGATGTCAAGGTTAGTTTTCTTTGTTAAGCTCATATTGCTTACAATCATCATTTATTTGCAAAACCAGCTCAGTGTCAGAAATTAGGATTTTATCTTCTTATTCCGCTTTTTATTTTTATTTCACAATTGATGTTCACTTGTCTCTGCATTCCTGCTGTTATTCTGAGATATTTTTGTTTAAACATACCCCCCCTCCCTCCCTTCTCAAAGACCTTATCTAAATACTCTTATCTGTTTTTTTTAAGGCATAAAGAACTTTTACAAGTGTTGAATGTGCAAATTCTGTGTACCTCAACCTCAACCTCATTGACTGTGTAAAGTCCTATGAACAGTTTTATTTCATTATGTTGTATATTTAGGGGGATGGGAATGGGGGTGATAAAGTTGGTAGTTGCTATCTTTAGTCTATCTTCTTTGGGTAGGATATCAGTTTTTTTCTTTTTAAAATTATTATTATTATTAAATGATTTTTCATTTCAGGCAGAGTATGGTGTAAAGACAAAGACTCAGCTTATGGCTGAGAAATCTGTTTTCAAGAGTCTTTTAATGACTGTCATCTCATCCAGTGCTGAACCAGATCTTCTTGACTCAGAGGATGATTTTGTAGTTAATATCTGTCGTCATTTTGCTCTGATGTTTCACGTTGATTATTCCTCTACCAACACTTCTACAACATCTACAGTTGGGGGTCCTACGCTTTCGTCAAATACAAATTTAGGTTCTAGGCCTAGAGGAAGTACAGGATCGAACCTTAGAGAGCTGGATCCCTTAATATTTTTAGATGCTTTGGTTGATGTGTTAGCGGATGAAAACAGGCTGCAAGCGAAGGCTGCTCTGAATGCATTAAACACATTTTCTGAATCCCTTCTGTTCTTGGCTCGTTCAAGGCACAATGATGTGCTAATGTCAAGAGGAGGTCCTGCAACACCTATGATTGTCTCTAGCCCATCAATGAATCCTGTGTATTCTCCACCACCTAGTGTCCGTGTCCCTATTTTTGAGCAACTTTTGCCCCGTCTATTGCATTTATGTTATGGAGTTACATGGCAAGCTCAAATGGGAGGTGTAGCAGGACTGGGGGCCTTGGTGGGGAAGGTCACTGTTGAGACTCTTTGTCACTTTCAAGTTAAAATCGTCCGAGGTTTGATATATGTCTTGAAAAGGCTTCCAATATATGCAAATAAGGAGCAGGAAGAAACAAGCCAGGTTTTAATGCAGGTGCTGCGTGTGGTGAACAATGTTGATGAAGCAAACAGTGAATCCCGGAGGCAGAGTTTCCATGGTGTTGTTGAATATCTTGCGTCAGAGCTTTTTAATGCAAATGCATCAATAAATGTGAGGAAAACTGTGCAGTCATGTTTAGCCTTGCTTGCTAGTCGGACGGGTAGTGAGGTGTCTGAATTGCTTGAGCCTTTGTATCAACCTTTACTTCAGCCCCTTATCATGCGCCCTCTTCGTTCAAAGACAGTTGATCAACAGGTAAACTTGGCTTGTTTATTTTATCCTTGAAGCTGTTTTATTTATAATCCCTTCTTGTTGCATGCAGGTGGGAACAGTTACTGCATTAAATTTCTGTTTGGCCTTAAGGCCGCCTCTCCTGAAGTTGACCCCAGAATTAGTTAGTTTCCTGCAAGAAGCTTTGCATATTGCAGAGGCTGATGAGACTGTGTGGGTTGTGAAGTTTATGAATCCCAAAGTTGCTACATCTTTGAATAAGCTTCGCACAGCTTGCATTGAGTTACTTTGCACTGCAATGGCCTGGGCAGATTTCAAGACAGCAAATCATGCTGAATTGCGTTCAAAGATCATATCCATGTTCTTCAAGTCCCTGACTTGTCGTACTCCAGAAATTGTTGCTGTTGCCAAGGAAGGCCTGAGACAGGTATTGTGCTCTTTCGTAGTCCGATCATGATTCTGTGATGTCTGGTTTGATACTGTGAATGAGTGATCGAGTTACATTGGATTAGGTGGACTTGTTTCTAACATTGATGTAGATTACTAGAATATAGTTTCTTTTTTTTTTCCTTTTTTATATTATGTGTATGACATTGTGACTGCCGCATGGTGATATATCTGTCTCTGACCTCTTTTTTGATATATGTGATATATTTTCTGATAATATTGTTTATCGCATCTCTAACAGAGTCATGAAACATGTGTGGATTTGTGTTTTTGTTATACATGACCCATATTTGTTCTATATTGAATTTGTTAATTTGGTTGTGCGCTGTTAAAAATTTTGTGAAGCTTTCTCTCTGTAACCATTGAAAATATTGATTTGGTCAATGTGAATATTAATGTTACTCTTCTGCTAATTTCATTGCCAAGATGTTGTGTTTGTTTGCATAACCTGACTGGCAAGAAAACACGCCTCTAATAGAACCAGTCAAAAGTAAAGACACTTTTGCCCACATATATAGGAGCGTGCAAGGAATCAGCCCAAGCCTGATATCCGTTTCACTTATGCTAGAAGGCTCAAGAGTTAATCAGAGAATGTTGAATTGGAAAGTTGTTAGAAATCAGTTTTGGGGAAGAGGGTAAAATAGTAATCTTGCAAATAAACTAGTTTGTTATTTGATTCTCTGTATTAGCTGTGCTCAACTTTGTTAGCTTGCTTAATTTTGGGTATTAATAGGAGTTTGGGTTAAGGGGAATGCATCAAGAAATTAATTGAGAAGTTGTTTTGGAGAGCTCCTTCCTCTTGAGTATTATCGAATACTCTGTTTGATATTACAACTATCCCCTTTCTCTCTGTACTTAGCTTACTAATTTGCTGTCCTCAGCAGAGCGCTGGAAATGTAATAACAAGTTGTATATTGATTTATTGTTAGAAACGGTTAATATTCTGTATAATTAATTCATTCTACTGTAGAAAGCATGAAAACATTTTGGGACTTCTTAGAAGAAATAATGGAAAACATTACGCCTCTATTTTCACGAATAAGAAGGAATTATTTCATTTCTGTTTATTAATATAGGCGAGTATTAAATTTGTATGAAAGAATGGCCTTTTAATGATTTATTTAAATTAATCTGCATTAATATAACATCATTGTATACAATTGTATAGTCTACTCTATTTTTATTTGCAAGGTTACTGTAAAGAGAGTTTTTTATTCTTCTTCGTTTTAAGCTGGTTCTCCAATTTAAATGGTAGCACCCAAGAGTAATCATAGAATTATATCTGTAGTCTGTACTATTTGCCTTATAAGGGTCAATTGTAGGATGACATCATTATATCCAAAATAGCCAAAACTTAATTTTGAGTTCATTCATCTTTGGTTAGCTATTTATAGTTAGGTTTTCACTGAAGTGGTGTAATTTGTGTGAATCAGTGTTTAAATTTAGATTCACCTGAATCAAGTCAGCATTTTCTTTTGTTTATGTGATGACAAAGTAGCTGAGTTGAATTCTGTGTCTTGATTTTTTTTTTTTTCAAGAGCAATGTTTTTATTAGTAAATATGTTCATAGTAGGTATGATCAAAAGTAGAATAAGATTAAAGTCTCCGTTGAAAAGGGTTAGGCTACCCTACTTTATCGGCTAGCCATGGTGGGGGTCTCTTTAGCTGCTTAGGTGTAATATCACATTATTCGTTAATTTTGCCTCTTCCTGATTTCCTTTTCCTTCTATTTTATTTATTTATTTATTATTTAGGTTATTCAGCAACAGAGGATGCCCAAAGAACTTCTCCAGACCAGCCTCAGACCCATCTTAGTTAACTTGGCATATACCAAAAATCTCAGTATGCCTTTGTTGCAAGGTCTTGCCCGCTTGCTTGAACTTTTATCTACCTGGTTTAATGTTACCCTTGGTGGTAAACTGTTGGAGCATCTTAAGAAATGGCTAGAACCTGAAAAACTTGCACAGAGCCAGAAATCATGGAAGGCTGGTGAAGAACCAAAGATTGCTGCAGGTAAATGAAAGATTGTCTAATTCAAAGTATAATTTTCCTGATTGTTCACATTTTTTATTTTAAATTATGATCAAATATCTCTGTTTATTGCCAGCTATTATCGAGCTGTTTCACCTTCTCCCCAGCGCTGCTGGAAAGTTCCTTGATGAACTTGTAACTCTAATTATTGACTTGGAAGGGGCTCTCCCACCTGGACAATTCTACAGCGAGATTAATAGTCCGTACCGTCTTCCACTTACAAAGTTTTTAAATCGCTATCCAACAGCTTCTGTTGAATACTTCCTCGCTCGATTGAGTCTGCCACAATATTTTAGACGGTAAATTTACTACGCTCACTTTGCATGCTGATCTGTTGCTGGCTTTTTATCTTGAATGTTGAACCATTGCTGGTTTTTGTATTTAGGTTTATGTATATAATAAGGTCTGATGCTGGACAGCCCCTAAGAGAGGAACTTGCAAAGTCACCTCAGAAAATAATAGCAAGTGCATTTCCCGAGTTTCTGCCAAAATCAGAGCAACCAACTGTTTCAGGATCTGCTGCTACACCTTCCACTCAGCCGGGTGATGAAGCCCATGCTGCTCCTCCTTCTGAAAGCTCTAGTGTACCTTCAGTTAGCACTGGTGTTTCACCAGATGCATTCTTTCAAGGACTTGCTTTGATCAAAACTCTGGTCAAATTGATGCCCATTTGGCTGCAGAACAACCGTAATTTGTTTGATGCTCTTGTATTAGTTTGGAAGTCACCTGCAAGAGTTGCGCATTTGAATAAAGAGCAGGAGTTGAACCTTGTTCAAGTAAGTTTTTTTCTCTTTTTTTTGGGTGGGGGTGGGGCGTGGGGTAATGTGTAGGACTTTAGATGAGGGGTTTTTGTGTATTTGTCAATTTGTTGTGTTATTATGTGGAAGTCTTTTTAATTTTCATGCCTCTATCTTTAACCATGTGTGGATGAAAGAAGAATTGGCTTAAAATTTTTGTTGCAGCTGCACTCTTCCTGGAGCTGCTTACACCAATGCTACTCCATTCATCTTATCTAAGCAAGTTTTGTGGGGTGTGCTAGCATTTTATACTCTTTGTGCTTGGACGAACTTCTTGTCTTCTCAATTTGCATGGTTAGGAGTTTAGGTCATGGGAGCATCTGTCTCATTTTGTCATTATTCTGATTGATGTTGCTAGCATAAGTTTTATAAGTTTACGGGATCGTTATTCTCAGAGCTGGATACAGCTAGTGCGCTTAGCAGAGTTACTGGTTTTCTAGTACAGTTGTTGCTGACGGTGAAATTTGTGGTTTCTGCTTTCTAGGATACATTACGCTAGTTGATGATTGTTTTCTCTGACGCTTTATTTGGATAACAAATAAGGAAGGAAAGGAAGGGGAGGGAAATAGGAGGAAGGGAAGAGAAAGAAAGGGAGGGGGAGGTGAATTCCAGTTTCCCTCCAAATCTCTCCGATTTTGGAGGGATTATGTTTATTAAAGGGAGAGGGAAAGTGGATCCCTCCCTCTCCTTTCCCTTCCTTCCCCCAATTCTTTACCCAAACAAGAGAGTTTGGCCCTCTCCCTTTCTCTTCCCTTCTTTTCCTTCCATTTTCTTGTATCCAAACAAAGTGTTAGTGTATGTGTCTGGAGTTTGATGATTGTTTTCTTCAGTATTCTTTGTTTAGTTGTTGTAGTCCTTTAGGTATCTGTACGGAAAGTATTCTGGGATAAGAACAGCTGTTTATATTCTTTTGGCCGCTGAATTGCTTTAGAATTATTTTGTAACAAGGCGTTCTGGAATTCATGTGCAGGTCAAAGAAAGCAAATGGCTTGTGAAATGCTTTTTGAATTATTTGCGGCATGACAAGACTGAAGTGAATGTGTTATTTGATATTCTTTCCATATTTTTATATCACTCACGGATTGATTATACTTTCTTGAAGGAATTTTATATCATTGAGGTAAGTTTACTCTGTTAAAGGGTGTCTTATTTTTATGAAGTATTGCGTCCTTGTCTTTTTATCCTGGAACGTGAACGAAATTTTAGTCTATTAGATGCTCCTAGTTCTCTTTTCAGCTGTTTTGTACTGTCTAAAGAAATTGATTTATCTTATTCCCTATTTTCTTTTCATCTTATGCTAATTTTTATGCTGTTGTCCAGGTTGCAGAGGGATATTCACCTGACTTGAAGAAAACACTCCTGTTACACTTTTTGGACATTTTCCAGTCAAAACAACTGAGTCATGAACACGTAGTGGTGATAATGCAAATGCTTATATTGCCGATGTTAGCTCATGCCTTCCAGAATGGTCAAAGTTGGGAGGTTGTTGATCCAAGCATTATTAAAACAATCGTTGATAAACTTCTTGATCCTCCTGAAGAGGTGATAGTCTGTTCCTGGCTGGTTCCTAATGAGGAATGTTGTATTAATTATACTGTTGCATTGTTATGTAAGCAGTATTGTGTAACAGTTAAGAAGTTAATTTCCTTAATGAATAGTCTATATTGGGATCTTGTACAGGTTTCTGCTGAATATGATGAACCATTACGCATAGAGCTTTTGCAGCTTGCCACACTGCTTCTGAAATATCTTCAAGGCGACCTTGTTCAGCATAGAAAAGAGCTTATTAAGTTCGGTTGGAATCATCTTAAACGTGAAGACAGTGCTAGTAAACAGTGGGCATTTGTCAATGTTTGTCACTTCTTAGAAGCTTATCAGGCCCCAGAGAAAATCATACTACAGGTACACTAAAGTGATAATACTCTTGTCAGAGTTTTTAATAGTAGTGCAGTATTATTTTATTCTTTGCCAGAATTCTGACTTATTACAAGTTCATGCATGATTGGGGGTTTTCTTTGTAGGATCTTTTATTGTAATTATTTATTATGTAGTGGATACTCGAGTACTGTAGGTCTTTGCTGAAAATCTAGACCCCAATTTATCTATCTTTTTGTAGCTCTTTAAATGCCATTTTTTTGCCTGTGCTTTAAATCAGGTGTTTGTTGCTCTTCTGAGAACTTGCCAACCAGAGCATAAGATGTTGGTGAAGCAAGCATTGGATATATTGATGCCAGCATTACCACGAAGATTACCTCCTGGAGATAATCGTATGCCAATTTGGATACGATATACTAAGAAAATCCTCGTTGAAGAAGGCCACTCAATTCCTAATTTGATTCACATTTTCCAGCTCATTGTCCGTCATTCAGATCTTTTTTATGCCTGCAGAGCACAGTTTGTACCTCAAATGGTAAATTCTCTTAGTCGACTAGGTTTGCCTTACACAACGACTGCAGAGAATCGGCGTCTTGCTATTGAATTGGCTGGGTTAGTTGTGAATTGGGAGAGACAAAGGCAAAGTGAAATGAAGGCTGTAGCTGGGACTGATACTTCAACCCAAAATTCTGATGTTTTAAGTTCCGGTATGGCTGGTGTCGACTCCAAACGTTCCACAGAGGGATCAGCAGTTCCTGAGGATCCGAGTAAGCGTGTAAAGATTGAACCTGGAATCCAATCCTTTTCTGTTACATCTCCACCAGGTGCTGCTTCCATTCCTAACATTGGAACCCCGGGGTCTGCTACTCAGGCAGATGAGGAGTTCAAACCAAATGCTGCAATGGAAGAAATGATAATTAATTTTTTGATTAGGGTAAACCTTCTGTGACATGGCCTTACTGATGATTCCATGCGTTATCTAATTCTTGTCACTTTCTATCTATGATTTGACTTCTTTGGTTACCTCATCGTGCTTGCTTCTCCTGTCCTAATTTATTTGTCATGATTACTCTTTTATCCCATGCTTTTACACTTTTATTGGTTCTTATAATACTAATATTAGCGATAATTGCTGATAGGTTACACTTTCAATCGGTTATAATTTATAACGATTTAGTAAAAACTTATATGTTATTCTTGTACGAAACTATTTGAACGGAGGCAAAAGTAACTATTAGAAAAAGATGGAAGTGTAAGTATATTTTTGCTCATATTTGGATTGTCATTCAATTTCCCCATTTTGATAAGGAAGGACCAATTAGGACGGATTGATTTTTTGTTTTCTTAATCGGATGCTAGGATTAGCAAATTTAATATGGAATTCAATATTTTTCATTTTTTTGGGCGATCTAGGAAACTTGAATGCAGATAATATGAAGTATATGGTATTTTCATGTCTGATCTTCTCCTATAAATTTATCATTGTTGGTGCCTTTTGGTGGGATGATCTTCATACACCTTTCTTTCTGTTTGGAATCTGCATTATATGTAAAGTATGTTGTGGAATATTTTTCCTAATGTAAATGTGGTTGGAGCTTTCACATTGATTCTTGACTGTGTTTTCTGACCATGAATCTAGTGATGTGGTGTTAAGGTATCATATTTGAGAAAAGTATCAATGCAATGGATAATTGGATATGTATTTGTGTCTTAGTTAACTTTCTTGAACTACCTTCTCCAAGAAGCACCTTACTTAAAGGATAACTGTGAATTTTCTATTTAGTTTATTACTCTAGTTCTATTGCCTATGTGATACACTACATTCGTGAATCTCATGATTATACAATGTTTTGGATCACAAAAGTTAGGGATTTATTCTTCTCACATGTTATCCTCAGTTGTCATACCATTGTCTTGTTATTTTATGAACCAGGTGGCCCTGGTGATAGAGCCCAAAGACAGGGAAGCAAGTTTAATGTACAAACAGGCTCTAGATCTACTCTCACAAGCTTTGGAAGTGTGGCCACATGCTAATGTGAAATTTAATTATCTTGAGAAGTTGCTCAGCAGTATTCAGCCATCTCAATCAAAAGATCCTTCCACTGCTCTTGCTCAGGGCTTGGATGTTATGAACAAAGTTTTGGAAAAGCAGGCACAATTATTCATAAAAAACAACATTAGCCAAATATCTCAAGTAATATAGTTGTTACACCCTTTTTCTCTTTATTATTGGTTCGTTGTAATTATCACTTTGTAACTTTATTCTTTTTGTTGATATATTACTTCAATTTGCTGCAGATTCTTGAACCATGTTTTAAATACAAGATGTTAGATGCCGGGAGGTCATTGTGCTCGTTGCTGAAGATTGTTTTTCTCACATTTCCCATGGATTCAACCAGCACTCCGTCTGAAGTGAAGATATTGTACCAGAAAGTTCAAGAATTGATAGAGAAACAAATTGCAGCTGTCACTGCTCCTCAGACATCTGGAGATGATACAGTGGCCAGTTCTATCAGCTTTGTGCTTTTGGTCATTAAGACTTTGATGGAGGTGCAAAAGAACCTAGTTGATCCTTCCTTGTTGGTCCGAATACTTCAGCGCCTGGCACGTGATTTGGGATCACTTGCAGGTACTCAAGCTAGACAGGTATCTATTTTATCCTATAACCTCCTCCCCTCTGAACCTATCTTTTATCTCTCACTCATTTTTGCAGTACTTTTGATGTCCTATTGACTATTGATTACTTGGCCATACTCCATATATTAGCATTTGGTGATACGTTTTTTCAATATAGGGTCAAAGACTGGATCCAGATTCAGTGACCTCATCTCGTCATGGTGCTGATGTAGGAGCTGTCATCTCTAATATAAAATTGGTCTTGAAACTTATTGGTGAACGAGTCATGCTTGTGCCAGATTTTAAAAGATCTATTACACAAATTCTCAATGCTGTTCTCTCAGAGAAGGTTACTGATGCAAGTGTTCTACTTTGTATATTGGATGTGATAAAAGGGTTGATTGAGGATGACTTCAGTAAACCAACTGCGTCTGGCACGATGACTAGTTTTCTTAACCCAAAAGATACGGTATCTTTTCTTCAGAAGATTTCCCAAGTTGACAAACAGAATTTTTCCCCAAGTCAACTTGAAGAATGGGACCAGAAGTACCTGGAGCTTCTCTATGGAATCTGTGCCGATTCAAATAGGTAAGTATTCACCATCAGTTTTCGTTTTTCAGCTGGTAGCCTGGCAATTGCGATATATCTATTAATGATGTCATCCTTTGCAGATACCCTCTTCCCTTGCGGCAAGAAGTATTTCAGAAAGTAGAAAGGCAGTACATGCTTGGTTTGAGGGCAAAGGATCCTGAAACTAGAAAGAAGTATTTTTTGCTGTATCATGAATCTCTTGGAAAAACATTATTTGCTAGGTTGCATTACATCATTCAAATTCAGGACTGGGATGCTTTAAGTGATGTCTTTTGGCTTAAACAAGGCCTTGATCTTCTTCTTGCCCTGTTGGTAGAGGATCAGTCAATTACACTTGCTCCTAACACTGCGAGATTGCAGCCTCTTGTTACTTCAAATAATAGTCCTGAAGGTTCTGCAATGCAGCACCAGGTGTCTGAAGTTCCAGATCCTGTTCCACTGACGTTTGAAGGTCTTGTTAACAAGCATGCTCATTTTCTGAATAAGATGAGCAGACTACAGGTCGGTTGCCCCCTCTCCTACTAACTCTGTAGTATGTTTGCTGGAAGCTTATTTTTCTATCAAACTCGACATCGTTTAGCTTATATAATTACAGGTGGATCCTTGATATTGGAACTTCGGTTATTGTTTCGCTATCTCCTGTTTAGCTCTATGCCTACAAATTAGTTTTTTTTACACTTTATTGTGGCTATTAATCTAGATGCTTATCTGATGGGTTTCTGTGACACTCTGCCTGTGGCTATTAATTTTTACTAGGTTACTCATTGGCCTATATTCATTCACCTCTTCGTCTTTTTTGACGTTTAAGCCTTGAACTGGCTATAGGGGGAAGCCTTAGCCCCTTTTTCTGGCACCACTGAAGTCACTCAAGTCATGCTTTGCCTCTTCATTGCAATATCTTCTCCCACCTTATTAACCTTCCACTGAAGGATTGAGGCCTTACCTGTTACCTGGGCTGGAAAGCCCTCTGATCACTGAACAATTTAAGTGCTGGCCTACCATCTGACGTCCCTTTTTTCATTTCTTGTTCTTTCTCTCCAGTTTTCTTAGTGTTTTTGTCTCTTTGATTCTGATTCTTCTGCCTCAAGCAGTACTTCATGTGATTGGCATACTATACTAAACAATTACTCTTGTTTCCTTTCCTTTGGTACGTCTATTAATATTTTGTGAAAATATAAGACAAAAGCTAAGCTTGATTTCCACCTTATTTGGTCTAGTGAGGTCTTGAGAGGCATACTATTATTCTAATTAGTCAAAAACTGTTAGGAAATAGGTCTCTGACAGATTCTACATTTTTTATTTCCATAAATTTGAAAATTAATCAATAGAGGAAAATTCAAAGTGGCAAATACTTTACAGTATCATTTTATATACAAATGGCCAAGTAAAATTAGCAATAACTGCCTCTGTTCCCCTAATATTGCAACAATAACAATTTTAGGAAGTTTCACAAATATTGCAAAATTACCATTTTTGCACATGCTCTCTCTCTCTTTCTCTCTCTCTCTCTCTCTCTTCACATGGGTCCCTATCTTTTTATTTATTTTTTATTTTTTACTATATCTCTCATCTTTTGTTCCGTGTCTCTCCCCCCTTCTCTCTTGTTGCAATGTTAGGGGAACGCAGGAAGTATAACAATAGCCAAAGTAACAGTAATAAACTAATAACAATAGTAGTTAGCAGCAGAAGCAGTAGTATTATTGTCTAGTATCAGCAGAATCATTAGTGTTGGGGGGGGGGGGGGGGGCTGCTGAAATGAAAAGGTAGCAATGTGAGTTTACAAGAGCAAAATCCATGTGGATCTGTGCGTGCACCCTGCTGGTCTTTTTTTGTGTACCTTTACTCAAGATTTACAAGAAAATCTGTCTATGAAACTGAGTTTGCTACTGCTTAAACCAGAATATGGTAGTTATTTATGCTATTAGGGCGAAGTTAATTCAAATCTATCTTCTCTTGCAGGTGGCTGATCTTCTTGTGCCACTGAAAGAACTTGCTCACACAGATGCAAATGTTGCATATCATCTGTGGGTGTTGGTATTTCCTATAGTCTGGGTGAGCTTAAACAAAGACGAACAGGTTGCTCTGGCTAAGCCTATGATTGCTCTCTTATCAAAGGATTGTCTTAAGAAACAACAAACACATAGACCAAATGTTGTGCAAGCTCTCTTGGAAGGACTTCAGCTTAGCCATCCACAACCTCGGATGCCTAGTGAACTTATTAAATATATTGGAAAGACGTACAATGCTTGGCATATTGCATTGGCCCTGCTAGAAAGTCATGTCATGTTGTTCATGAATGATACCAAGTGTTCTGAATGTCTTGCTGAGCTATATCGTCTGCTTAACGAAGAGGACATGAGGTGTGGGTTGTGGAAGAAGCGGTCTGTTACAGCTGAAACTAGAGCTGGGCTCTCACTTGTGCAACATGGCTACTGGCAGCGTGCTCAAAGCCTGTTTTATCAGGCCATGGTCAAGGCAACTCAAGGGACCTATAATAACACTGTTCCCAAGGCTGAGATGTGCCTATGGGAGGAGCAATGGCTTTATTGTGCTGGCCAACTTAGTCAATGGGAGGCCCTGGCAGATTTTGGGAAGTCCATTGAAAATTATGACATCTTACTCGATAGTCTATGGAAAGTTCCTGATTGGGCTTATATGAAAGATCATGTTATCCCTAATGCTCAAGTAGAAGAAACACCGAAGCTCAGAGTGATTCAGGCCTACTTTGCACTCCATGACAAAAATGTTAATGGTGTCGGAGATGCAGAAAATATTGTTGGGAAAGGTGTTGACCTTGCTTTAGAACAGTGGTGGCAATTGCCGGAAATGTCTGTGTATGCTAGGATACCCCTTCTGCAGCAATTTCAGCAGCTAGTTGAGGTTCAGGAATCTGCTAGAATTCTTGTAGACATTGCAAATGGAAACAAACATGCTGGGAACTCTTCTGGTGGTGGACATGGGGGAATTTATGCAGATCTAAAAGATATTCTTGAGACTTGGAGATTGAGGACACCAAATGAATGGGATAACATGACAGTTTGGTATGATTTGTTGCAATGGAGAAATGAAATATACAATGCTGTCATAGATGCTTTTAAAGATTTTGGTTCAACCAATCCTCAACTTCATCACCTTGGCTATCGTGACAAAGCATGGAATGTCAATAAGCTTGCTCATATTTCTCGTAAACAAGGGCTTTATGATGTGTGTGTCACCATTCTTGAAAAAATGTACGGCCACTCTACTATGGAGGTGCAGGTATGTGAAGTCATAATTGCTTTTGATGGCTTTACGACTATTATTGATGGTGACCTTATCTTTGAAGTCCCCCCCCCCCTCCTTTCTTGCTTTCTCTTTTTGCCAGTTTATTTTGCTCAAATATTCTGGCCATGTTATCATTTTGCCTATTACTGATTTACTGGTAAACCTAATGAAGGATCTTTACTGTACAAAATATGTTGGACACTGTATTCAAATTTAGTAAAAAAACTCACGACTCCACTCATTGAAGCAATGCGGTGGGATGATACTTGGCCTATATATATTTAAACTCATGACTCATGATTTTGAGTCAGGAAGCATTGCCCAGGGATGATACTTGGCCTAATATATCCAAACTCATTTAATGACCTTCTTAAGTAGTCTTTCATTTGGGTTTTTGGGGATCATGGGAGGAGAGAGCCCCCATGACTCCTCATCAATGTAGATAATCTTAAAGGCATTGTGACTCTTATAATTCCTGTGTATTAAAGTTTATCCTTGATATGGATCTGTACATCGCAATATTAGATAGGAGTGATGCTGTCATCTTACCGACTTGCTTTTTTTTTTTTTTTTAATGTATGCCTACAGGAGGCCTTTGTTAAAATCAGAGAACAAGCAAAAGCTTATCTTGAAATGAAGGGAGAAGTAACCAGTGGATTGAATCTGATCAATAGCACCAATCTTGAATATTTTCCAGTCAAGCACAAAGCAGAAATTTTTCGTCTGAAAGGAGACTTCTTATTAAAGCTAAATGACTGTGAAACTGCTAATCGAGAGTATTCTAATGCCATCAGTCTTTTCAAAAACCTGCCAAAAGGATGGATTAGTTGGGGAAATTATTGTGACATGGTATGCTATTTATTTTTGGCTTCTAATATCTATATTTTATACATTGTTTCTTACTGTGTACAATTTTCTGCTCTTTATTCAGGCATATAAAGAAACACATGATGAAATTTGGCTGGAGTATGCTGTTAGTTGTTTTCTTCAAGGTATCAAATTTGGTATTCCCAACTCAAGAAGCTATCTAGCTCGTGTTCTTTACCTTCTCAGTTTTGATACCCCTAATGAACCTGCTGGAAGAGCATTTGACAAATATCTGGAACAAATACCTCATTGGGTATGGCTTTCCTGGATTCCTCAATTACTGCTTTCATTGCAGCGAACAGAAGCTCCCCACTGCAAGCTTGTCCTCCTGAAAATTGCCACAGTATATCCACAGGCAAGTTTCTGCGCCCCTTTTAGATATAAAAGAAACATAAATAATAAAGATGGAAAGGTCAAGAAGTTCTCCATGGTTGTGTAACTATTTTTCTATAAATTTCAGGCTTTGTACTATTGGCTGCGCACATATTTACTTGAGCGCCGTGATGCTGCTAATAAATCCGAAATTGGGAGATTGGCTATGGCTCAGAACAGAATGCAGCAAAACCCTTCTTCTGGTGGTCCTAATTCACTTAGTTTGAATGATGGGGCTACAAGAATGCAAAACCACGGTGTTATATCATCAGAGAATCAGGTTCATCAGGTGTCTCAATCTGGTAGTGGTATCAACTCTCATGATGGTGGAATTATAAGCGGTCAAGAGTCAGAGAGATCTGCTGCTGGGGAAGGAGGCACTGTATCCGGTAGTGAATCACATCTGCCGCACAATTCATCAAATATCAATGATGGTGGTCAAAATGCACTAAGGCGTAGTGGTGCTATGAGTTTGATGGCTTCTGCTGCCAGTGCTTTTGATGCTGCAAAGGATATAATGGAGGCTCTCAGGAGCAAGCATACTAATCTTGCCAGCGAGCTTGAGGTGCATAATTTTATGCTTTTATTATGTTTCTGTAGACACTAATCACTAATCTGATATAACATGTGCTGCACTCAATTTACCTCTCTATTTAAGGTTGTTAGCTTGCAACTGTTTTCTGATTACTTTTCATTGTTTTCAGTATTCGTACTGTAATATTCTCTATTATTACTTTTAAAGAGTGATATATATTACTCATCTCCTTTATTTAATATATCGACACTCATAGATAAACTTTATGTCATTGTGTGATATTTTGCTCATAATTCATGTTATCGGGCTCTATCTATGATATAAAATTATCTCATGTAATGCTGTACACCATTTCATTGTATATTTCATGCCTTAATTTATGTGCTGTGATGAAGTTTGGAACAAAAAAGTCATGTATATAGATGGTGTGGATGAGTGTGAAATTAGTAGAGAGAGGGATGAGATATTTTCATTTCATGAGTAATGATGTTCATAGGGTGCGTATGAGGGAGGACAAAATTTGGTGATCTTGTGTTGGTTTATGAACACAGTTGTTGGTCCTAGATGCACATTTTGTGACAATCGGCTCTACCCCAATCAAGGATTGGGGTGTTACACTGTCCCTGCCTGTATCATGGTTTAGTATAATGATGTGTTTTTCTTGCTTCCAAGGTCCTTTTTAATGTGCTCCTGGCGTTTGACATATAATTTTTCAAGGTTTCTAATTTTGTTTTTGTTTCATATACGATTCATTTGGCAGATTTTGCTCACAGAGATTGGATCAAGGTTTGTCACTTTGCCAGAGGAGAGACTTCTAGCAGTAGTTAATGCTCTGCTTCATCGGTGTTATAAATATCCTACTGCAACTACTGCAGAGGTTCCTCAGTCTCTTAGGAAGGAGCTTTCTGGTGTCTGTAGGGCTTGCTTCTCAGCTGATGCTGTGAACAAGCATGTAGAATTTGTGCGAGAGTACAAGCAAGATTTTGAACGTGATCTTGATCCAGATAACGCTACTACCTTCCCAGGAACACTTTCTGAACTCACTGAGAGATTGAAGCACTGGAAAAATATTTTGCAAAGCAACGTTGAAGACAGATTTCCTGCTGTGCTGAAGCTTGAAGAGGAAAGCAGGGTTTTACGTGATTTCCATGTTGTTGATGTTGAGGTTCCTGGGCAGTATTTTACTGATCAGGTATGAACAATACTCATAAGAAATACACGGCATGACCAAGCCAAGAATAAACTTTTTTCTATATCAAATTCACTTTGCCAGTAAATTTTTTTTTGTCATAGTTTCCTCCATTGCTTTTTTTCTTCCTTAATTTGTGAATTGCTGTTTTTTTTTTTTTTTCTTAATATGTCAACTGATTCCTTTTCATAATCGTAGGAAATTGCACCTGATCATACAGTAAAATTAGATCGGGTTGGCCCCGATATTCCAATTGTACGAAGGCATGGTAGTAGTTTTCGTCGCTTGACGCTAATTGGATCAGATGGTTCACAGCGTCATTTTATTGTCCAAACATCCCTTACTCCAAATGCTAGGAGTGATGAACGCATGCTTCAACTGTTCCGTGTGATGAATCGCATGTTCGATAAGCACAAGGAGTCTAGAAGGCGGCATATCTGCATCCATACCCCAATCATAATACCTGTTTGGTCCCAGGTGATTTATCCTCACCAGTTTATTTTTTCTTATCTTATAGGAGTAGAGGTACTAATAAGTTGCTTGTAATTACATCCTTTAGATACATTCTCTTGAAAGCTGCAAATGGCTGGCCCCTTAATTTATAGCATTGGCTTGTTAGGGATTTGTTCCTGAAGTTTGTTGCTTCCATCATCCACCCTTACTTTAGTATTGATTACTTTGGATCAGGTTCGCATGGTAGAAGATGATTTGATGTACAGTACATTACTTGAGGTTTATGAGAACCATTGTGCGAGAAATGACCGTGAAGCTGATCTTCCCATCACCATTTTTAAGGAGCAGCTTAACCCGGCTATGGCTGGTCAAATATCACCAGAAGCTATTGTTGATCTCCGCCTCCATGCTTATAATGAAGTAACAAGGAGTCGTGTGCCTGATAACATATTGTCACAATTCATATACAAGACATTACTAAATGGAAACCATATGTGGGCTTTTAAAAAACAATTCGCAACCCAGTTGGCTCTCTCGTGTTTCATTTCATACATGCTGCAAATTGGGGGGCGTTCGCCTAATAAAATTCTATTTGCCAAGAACACGGGAAAGATTTTTCAGACAGATTTCCACCCAGCATATGATGCTAATGGGATGGTTGAATTTAATGAGCCTGTGCCATTCCGTCTCACTAGAAATATGCAGGCTTTCTTTTCTCATTTTGGTGTGGAGGGACTCATCATCTCTGCTATGTGTGCTGCATCTCAAGCTGTTACAACGCCAAAGGTAAGAAATCTACCTTCATCTGTTTATATTATCACCAGGGAACTATGAATGTGCTGTACATTTGTTTCACCATCTTGTTTGTGTTTATTACTTGTAATAATGAAGTGATGTACTTTTTTTTTTTTTTAAAGAACTGAAGTGATGTACTTTGATGCAAAGGCATATAAATCTTTTTGGGTGTTTAAAAAAATGATTCTGGGTTTGTGGTTGGGCGTTCGGGGGTGGGAGGGGGGGGGGGGGTTCAGCAGGATGAGTGTGCCAAAACATTCAGCAAAAGGTAAGACATCCTTCCCAAATGTGCAATGGAAATTTGACCCAGATTGGTAGAAAACCTACCTAGGACCTTATCTCTAGAGGAAAGATAGTGGCTTTTTATGCGTTCATTAAAGGCATTATCCCTTGCACTTCAATTGATATATATATATATATATTGACGCACACTTCAATTGATATAAAAGGCTAAGGGTCCAGCTATTTCTTAACATATTGATGACATGTTTACTTATATTTAGTTATGGGAGTCAGTTCATTAATTGAGTAGATAAATACCGCAACATTCAATAGTATAGCTAATGTTCAAAATAGCTCCATCTTTGAAGTTTAGAAATTAGCAGGATTACATAGGAGATATTGTGTGCAACTATTATGCTATGGTAGATTTGATGCCTTTACTCAAAATTATGTGTAATATGCAGCAAAACCAGCATATGTGGCATCACTTGGCTATGTTTTTCCGTGATGAGCTGCTGTCATGGTCTTGGAGAAGACCACTTGGAATGCCTTCGGCTCCCGTTCCTGGTGGTGGTCTAAGTCCAGCAGATTTCAAGCACAAGGTGACAACAAATGTCGAGCATGTTATTGGTCGTATCAATGTAATAGCTCCCCAGAGTTTGACTGACGAGGTAATGGGACAGGATTTCATCCCTTTTTTAGAAAATTTTTCAACATATACAAGAAGATACTGGACCAATATAGACATATAGTTGAATGATAGATTATTTGCATGAGCGTTTAATCTTTGTTGATATGATGAGTTTGAAGCTAGGTAACATTCCTAGGAGAGTAGGTGTGTACCATGCCATACTTTCAGACATATGTTTTGCATATATATGCTCCATCCATCCCATAGGGTATGCTAGTGTGTTCCCATGTAGAAAGAAAAAAGAGGCTAAATAGCTCATTGCATATGCAAAAGCTTTCAGATTGAGTATATTAAGATACGAAGATAGAATGTATTCCCTTTTCTTTTATACTAGTAGATTCTTGGATGTAAGCTTGTTCTCCCTACAACTTCCCTTACTGTACTGGTGTTCATGGCTGAATCTCTTGACCTGGAGTCTCCATGATGTGTATCTCCTTAATTCCTTATGCTTGTTGGGAAATCCCTCATTCCTTTGGTTAAGTTACTAAAGTGTTCTTTTGTGCTGGATTGCAGGATGAGAATGCCATGGACCCCCCGCAGTCGGTTCAAAGGGGTGTGGCAGAGCTCGTTGAAGCTGCATTGAGCCCTCGAAATTTGTGCATGATGGACCCAACTTGGCATCCATGGTTTTAATCTTTGCACAATGTACAGTTTTGCTAAAATGATCATGTTTGATATAGGCTCCTGCCAATTGTATATATAATGTACATATGTAGTTCTATAGTTGAAATAGGTGATGGGGAAGGCGAGTACTTGCAGAATTGCATGTTTAAATTATTCATCCGTCCGTAGTTGTCCCCTTAATGTTTTATTATGATTTATGAACAATGGAATTGACACTCACCTATATTGAGCTTAATTCTATCCTACCTTATAGTGGTAGTTTAAGTCAGGTATAGATATGGTAAAGCTGGAACTCTCTTTTAATCTCGATTTTATTTTTTATTTTTTTTTTATTTTTTTTTTATTTTTTTTTTGACAAAGAGAACTTTATAAATAAATAACAAATTACAACCTAAGAGAACTAAAGAAAGAAACTAGAACCAACCAAATACACCTAGCTAAAAACGCACACTAAATAAAACCTTGTGTTCTGTGGCGGAGCTGATACCCCCTAATCAACCCACATATGGCGTATATCACTTACCAGTAGAGGAAACCCGAAGTTAATGAAAAGGCTAGAAAGCCTTGCAACATACCAAATAGTAAAATACCATGAAGCTTGAACAACAACAAAATTATTACCAAAACCTTTATCTAGACTAAGAGTTGCCATTACGGAAGACTCAAATATAGTTCATTTTGTTGATTTATTGGCTTATTGCTGACTTCATATGTTATAATTACAATTAAGCCATTATCTGAAGGATGCCAATCATGTTTATTTTTTTATTCAATTTATTAAAAACATGCATATATCTACGAAAGAAATTGAATTATATATATATTGTTAAAAATATTTTACTGATGGTAAGATATTTATCAGTGAAGGGATGAAGATAGGAAGTAAGTAGTAGAATGGTAGGAAAACTCTTTTCTTGTTTTTCAACTTAAGTTCACAATACGTGAACTTTCATTTATATAGCCAAAATAATTGAATACAATAATATACATTATTGTACTTAGAGGTGGCCAGTGGGCCGGGTTGGACCCAGCCCACCCTAACTCGCACGGCTGGTGGGTCACGTGGGTCCGACCCGGTTTCAATCCGGCACAGCTCGGATTTAATCCGGGTTGTGTCGTGGGTCCAAAATTTTCGACACAACCCATTTCAACCCAGCTCAGTTTAACCCGTTTGATTCGACCCAAATCGCACAACCCGTTTTGACTCATTTAATTCGACACACCTAGCCCGTGAACCCACCTAACCCGACCCACCTGGCACAACCCAGCCCGCACGGCCCACCCGCACGAATGACCCACCCAACCCGCACGAGCCAACCCACCTAACCCGCACGCATGACCCACCCAACCCGCACGGCCCGCACAACCCGCACGGCCCGCACAGCCCGCACAATTCGCACGACCCGCACGGCCCGCACGGCCTAACATCCATTTTTAAAAAAACGGCTAGTTTTTTGTATCTAACGGCTAGTTTTTTGTATCTAACGGCTAGTTTTTTAAGTGTATGATCATCCATTCTATTTTTCCTATAAATACCAATTCCATTTCACTCAAATTTCCACACAAATTCAAGCTTTCTTTCTCTCTTACTTAAAAATTCTTATTGTTCTCAAATTCTCAAGTGTTATATAGAGTTATATTTTTGTTAAAAAAAATCTCCTTAATATTATTATTAGTATTCTTAAGATTCTAAAAAAAAAAAAATTTCTTCTCCATATTATAATTAGTAATCATACAAAAAAAAAAATGAGCTCAAGAGGAGGAATGGGAAGGAGTCAAAGTGGTGGTCGAAGTGGTAGCCAAAGGAGTGGTGGTGCAAATTTTTCGTATGAAATTAATACGGAAAATTTAAACCAATTTGTCAATGAATATGGAGATTATGGTTTAGGAGATAGGCAAAATATTCAAACGTCTCCACCACAACATTTCTCCCACGAGTCCCACCAATCATCAAGTTCAACTATGCCACCTCCATCGCAACCAACATCTCAACCTTCATCTCAAGGTAATTTCTAATTAAATTTTTATTGTTATGAATATTTAAAAAAACTATTATTAATGATTATAAAGTTAGTTTAGTTTCCAATTTTCTATGATTTACAATTAGTTAATTACCATGAAAAATGCGTTTAAATAAGTATAATTAAAATATTTAAAATTTAAAAGCTTATTTTCATAAATAGCATTTAAAAATTAATAATAATTTGATTTATGAAAGGTGGTGGCGGTGAAAGTAGAGGTCGAGCACATTTTTCTTGGGTGTGGAAACATTTTGAACGAGTTGAGGTCACACCCCCGGGATGGCAACCTGGTCAACCAAAGAGGTTCACGTGTACATGCCTAGTTTGCAAGGCGCTAGGTGCAAATGTCAAGTCATATAATTGGAAAACGGGAGATGGAACCGGAACCTTAAGTCGGCATTTGCAAAATAAACACGACTTGTTCGAAAATGGCCCCCGTCCTTCGGGGGGTGGCGTCCAAACACAATTGGGTGGATACATGAACCAACCCGGCGGAGGTACACCTTTCATTTATAATAAAGATAGAATGATTGATGAAATGAGTACTTTAGTTATTGCTAATGAATACCCTTTTAGTTACGGTGAAAATGCAAACGTTGAGCATTTTAATAAAGTTGCATTACAACCTGCATTTACTCGTGTCCCCCGAAATACCCTAAGACGTTATACACAAACTTCTTATTATAAGTATAGGAGTGGTTTGATTGAATTATTTCGTACTTTTGATGGTCGTGTTAGTTTTACAAGTGATACATGGACTTCTAGTTTTGGCGAACCTTTTCTTTGCATTACTGCTCATTGGGTGGATGATGATTGGTTTATTCAAAAACGTATACTATGTTTTCAAGCTATGGAAGAAAGGCATACCGGTTTTAACATCAAAGTTCGTATTTTGGATTGTTTAAAAGAATTTCACTTGAATAATAAAGTTTTTTCTTTGTCTCTTGATAATGCAACTGCAAACACAAAGTGTATTGACTATTTGAAAAATGACTCCGAGTTGAATTTGTTGTTGGGTGGTAGTCTCTTGCATGTTAGATGTTGTGCTCATATTTTGAATTTGTCTGTTCAAGAGGGTCTCGCTGAGTTGCAACCATTGCTAAACCCAATTAGAACAGTTATAAAATGGATTAGGATTACTCAGTCAGTTAGAAGAAAGTACATAGCTATGTGTAAAGAGAGAGGTCTTAAGAAAAGACAATGGTCTATTGATACCCCTACCCGTTGGAATTCTACTTTCAAGTTGTTGAGTGATGCTATAAAGTATCGTGATATTTTGACCCAACTTTACAATGAGACTCGTGTTGATCCTACTGAGTTAATAACCGAAAGTCATTGGACTAATGCTTCTTTTGTTCGTGATTTTTTAAATGCTTTTGATAGTGCAACTCATATTTTCTCTTATATTTATGAGCCTAACGTTCATTTAGTCATAATTGAGTGTGTTAAAGTTGTTCACACCATCGAAGAGCATATGAAGATTGATGGACTTCGTCCCGTTCTTGATAGCATGAAACGTAAGTGGCATACTTATTTTAGTGAATTTCCAATCATTTATGGAATTGCTGCTATTCTTGACCCCGGTGTCAAAGCTGAAGGTTTGGAAAATCTTTTAGAATTTTATTATACAAGTTTAAGTATCGATTATGATGTTAGTGAATATATTAACAAATGCAAATCTGTTTTGGGAGACCTTTATGATCATTATGCATCTATTTATGGTTTTGATTTGGCAACACCAACTACTACTAGCACTTCCGATTCTAGATTTGGTTTTCTTGATAAAGTTATGAAAAAAAAACACAAAGCATCTACATCATTCTCATCATCATCTTCTTCAACACTTGCTATTAATGATTATTTGTCATATCAACATGAGACCAACAACAACTTTCAAATTATAAAATGGTGGCAAGAACATAAAAAAAGTTTTCCTATATTGGCGAGAATTGCAAAAGATATACTTGCAGTTCCCGCTTCATCTGTTGCTTCCGAGTCTGCTTTTAGTGCAGGTAGAAGAGTGTTAGATGAAAAAAGATCTCGCTTAACTCCGGAAAGCATTCAAATTTGTGTTTGTAAGAAAGATTGGGATCAAGCTGAAAGAAGAACTCAAGGTTTAAAGGAAGACGAAGACGATGAAGATGATCCTGTGATGATATTGGAGTCGTCAACGGATGATGCAGCTTCCGGGGATGATGATGCAACAAACATGGGTGGCTAGAAAAGTCTAAATCAGGTACGCTAAGAACTACGTGGGCTTTGATTCTTTCGGGATACGTAGGCAACTTATTTTTCGAAAATTACAATTTAATTGCAAAATTAAATTTTAGTTTTCTAAAGATAGGTCCAAGCCCCCCCCAAATTTCAAAAGAAGTACAATATAAGAACTACGCTGGCTTTGATTCCTTATTTTATAATATAAGGATACGTAGGCATCTTAATTAAGAGCAAGCCATCAAATTGTTAATTTTGTAAAAATTAAAACACCACACAACCCACCCGACCCTAACCCACGAACCCACCCGACCCTAACCCACAAACCCACCCGACCCTAACCCACCTAACCCACAAACCCACCCGACCCTAACCCACTAACCCACCCGACCCTAACCCACCTAACCCACAAACCCACCCGACCCTAACCCACTAACCCATCCTTCGACCCACCCTAACTCACTAACCCACCTTGACCCGTCTAACCCACGAACCTAGCTCGACCCACCCATGACCCGTCTAACCCACAAACCCAGCTCGACCCACCCACGATCCGTCTAACCCACAAACCCAGCTCGACCCACCCACGACTCGTCTAACCCACGAACCTAACCCTGGTGTGTCCAACTTCTCCGACCCAACCCACGACCCGGCCCACCCTACCCTACGTGTGTCGTGCCGTGTGTCATGAAACCCCAACCCGCGACCCACCTAACCCTAACCCAGCTCGCACGACTCGCACGGTGGACACCTCTATTTGTACTTTATACAAATTATTGTACTTAGTAAAGTCTTCATTGACTTTAATTACCACATGTGAAGTTCAATTCAATCATGTTTCTCAACACTCCCCCTTTGAACGTTCACATGGAATGGGGTACAAGTTGCCTCATTAAAAACCTTGCTAGGTAAAACCCTTATGGGGTAAATACCATAGCTAGGGAAAAAGAGTACAACGATATAGTATTATATGCTTTGGTATACTGCCTCGTTAAAAACCTTGTCAGGAAAAACCCGGTGGGATAAAAACCTAATCGAAGGGAAAAAGAGTGCAGTACATATAATACT